CATCTGCGCCGTTGCGATTCTGGCAGCAGATTCGAACAGTGGAATGAGTTTTTAGGGACCAGCTTTTTGGCCGATCTAGACATGTTTCTGTGGCAATCCGTGAACCTGAAATTGTCCGCAATTCAACATCAAGGTTTGAATTTTCCATGCGGAGGATGATTGTTCTGACTGTTCAAACAGGCGGAAGATTCAAGGCAGCTGTTTTGCTGTCAATGCGTGTGTGCCAATGGCGGTTGGCCACTTTCAACATGGTTTTATCACCAAAGGAGATGGTATCAAATATGTGGTTCGCAATGGCACGGACACATTTTACATATTTTGTTTGCCAGACTCAGACCAACGATGGTGTGGTGCTAGTGTGCCAATAGGATTTGGTCCCTAGGGTAACTTGCGGATGGGCTGAGGTAACCCGGTGTGCCATTGGGATGGGGTAACTTCTGGGTGCCTGAGGTCAGAAGCAACGTCCGCCCAGTCAGGTTAACTGCCGCTTTCCTAGTAAGTCAATTAGCTGTGGCGGACCGGCTGGGCAGTTCAAGGGACATGTCATGAAAAGGGGTATTTTTCCATGTTCATGTTGTAGGGTGAGAAACACTCCATTGCTCCGGAAGGAACAAGCTTGTTTTGGTTTGCACACCACATGCGAAGGTGTAAACCAGCCATTTGTAGGGTGACAGCTCTGCAGTTCAAGATCAGCTAAGGAGTGTGCAACACGTTCCGCACCTGCATGTGGTACAATTCCGGCAGCACCTGCCTGTGTTTGAGCAAGCCGTCTCAAGGGTGACAGCGCAGCAGTTCAAGATCAACTCTGAAGTGGACAGACTCTAACATTGGGAAATGCTTCCTGTGTACCGACTTGTTTGTAGGATTCGAGGCGTGTTTCTGTGGCATCCATGCATCATTACCGGGACAGCTCTGCAGTTCAAGATCACTGTCATAGACGGTTTTTATTTTCATGTTGGCAGGTGAGAACCAGGAGTTTATAAACATGTGATCTGCATGGCGCCATGGTATGTTTGTTTGAATGGCATATGCCTGTGTTTCAGTCATCCATCGCTAGAGTAACGGCATAGCAGTTGACGCTCCGCTCAGGACTGAACGGACTGTAACACTGGGAGACGTTTTTTTTCTGGGACCCACCATCACTGCGGGAGACTAGGCGCGTTTGTGCGGCCATGCACCAAACTTTCAGGGACAGTTGTGCAGTTGAACAGGAGCTGCACGAAACGGTTTCGATTTGCATGTTGGAAGGTCAGATACAGCATTTTGGAAACATGTGACCCTCCCGTGACTCCACATGGGGCAGCGTTGTGTTTGTGGAACAGCGCATGCCAGCCTTTCAGCCATGCTTCTGCAGGTGACAGCGCAGCAGTTCAAACTCAACGCAGACGTGAACACATGGTGACACGGAGAGACGTTTTTTTTCGGATGCACGCGTTTGGGTGGCAGTTCATGCATCTGTCAGGGTACAACTCGGCAGTTCAACATCAGCTGCACGACACGGTTGTTATTTCCATGTTGGAAGGTCAAAAACAGGGTTTTCAAAACATGTGCACGTTCCGTCATTTCGCATGGGGCAAAGTTTTTTTTTACTACCACATGCCAGTGTTTGAGCCAGTTATCTCTAGGGTGACAGCGCAGCAGTTCAAAATCAGCTCAGAAGTGAACAGATTGTAACACTGGGCGATGTTTCTTTGGACCTCATTTTTTCTTGGATTAGACGTGTTTGTGTGGAAATCCATCAATCTGGTCTAGGGGACAGCTTGGCAGTTCAAGATCAGCTGCGCAAACGGTTTTTTTTTCCTGTTGGAGTATGAGAAACACCAATGTCAGAAGATGTGTTGTGTGCCGGTTGCCAGTGTTGCAGCCAACCATTGCCACGGTGACAGCGCAACAGTGCAAGATCAGCTCAGGACATGTTCAAGTAGCTGGGGCTGCAGATACACGGAGAAATTCCATGACCGGAGGCCGCCCGAGCTGGGTGCACCTGTATTTTTGAAAGGATGACACCAATCAACCCAATGAAAACGAGAAACCATAGAACCACAAAGCAGAAAAACAAGAAAGACCACTCGATATAGATGTATTTCATTTTGGTTTTGAAGACCCCACGCGGCCAATGGGCGTAGCTGGCACAGCATGCTGTGGTGAGTTGTGGCCCCTGATACCATCAGTGCGAACGATGTTTCAGTAAAGATCTTACGTCCATTTCGTGCAGAGCACAGCTGCCCATAGCGCAAGACTTTGTTAAAAAGGCGTGCTGTACGCCGTGTTGCTTGTGAGTTCTCTGGCCCACCTTGTTTCATTTTGGTTTTGCAGGCCCCATGCGGCCAATTGTAAGTTGATGGCGTGGTTTTGCACGGTGGGAAGCCGATTGGTGCGCGACAATTCGTCACGTTAGCTGAATTGACCGCTTCATTTGTGTCTGTTTTTCGATGTGTACCTTCTTTGCATGGTTTGCGGAGCCGACTTGTGAAACCCGTGGGTGGGAAGGGGCAACCCCCGCATGGAAACTCAACGCGTGGCAGGCCGCGTGGCAGGCGCAGGCAAGTTTCCGAAGGAAGCATCCCTGATGGGAGGTCAACGCGTGGCAGGCAGAAACCTGGAAGAAACTACCCCATATGGAGGGCCAAGTTGTGGAGGACCAACCCCAGCTGGAGTCAGCACGTGGCAGGCGCAGGCTCGGAAAAAACAACCCGTAATGGGGCCTCAAACCCTGGCAGGGCCAATGTTGTTTGGAACGAAACACCACTCGGAGGAAGCAACGCGTGGCAGGCGCACGTGGCAAGGCCAAACTTGGAAGAACACACCCCTGATGGGAACTGACCTCGTGGCGGGCGCAGGCTCGGACGAACCACCCCTTATGGGACCTCATAACGTGGCAGGGCCAATGTTTGAAGAAAAAGGCCCTGTGCGGAACCAACGCGTGGCAGGCACACGAAGGAGACGGCCCTGAAGGGAACTGAGCACGTGGCGGGCGCAAGCTTCGAAAAAACAAACCTTATGGGAAGCTACAACGTGGCAGAGCCAATTTGTAGAAGAAAAGGCACCTTTGAGGAATCAACGCGTGGGAAGCGGCAACACGTGCCGGAACCAAAGCGTGGCAGGCGCATATGGCAAGGAGACGCCCCTGATGGGAACTGAAAGCATGGCAGGCGCAAACTTCGAAGAAAGCACCCTTAGAGGAACCTATAACGTGGCAGGGCCAGCGTTTGGGAGGAGGGACCCGTGATGGGAAGGCAACGCGTGGCAGGAGCTACTGTGGAAGAACCATTTTTGATGACATCAACGCGTGGCAGGCGCAGGTTTGGAAGAAAGCACCCTTAGAGGAACCTATAACGTGGCAGGGCCAGCGTTTGGGAGGAGGGACCCGTGATGGGAAGGCAACGCGTGGCAGGAGCTACTGTGGAAGAACCCATTTTTGATGACATCAACGCGTGGCAGGCGCAGGTTTGGAAGAAAGCACCCTTAGGGGAACCTATAACGTGGCAGGGCCAGCGTTTGGGAGGAGGGACCCGTGATGGGAAGGCAACGCGTGGCAGGAGCTACTGTGGAAGAACCCATTTTTGATGACATCAACGCGTGGCAGGCGCAGGTTTGGAAGAAACCACCCTTAGGGGAACCTATAACGTGGCAGGGCCAGCGTTTGGGAGGAGGGACCCGTGATGGGAAGGCAACGCGTGGCAGGAGCTACTGTGGAAGAAACCATTTTTGATGACATCAACGCGTGGCAGGCGCAGGTTTCGAAGAAACCACCCTTAGAGGAACCTAGAACGTGGCAGGGCCAGACCCGTGATGGGAAGGCAACGCGTGGCAGGAGCTACTGTGGAAGAACCCATTTCTGATGACATCAACGCGTGGCAGGCGCAGGTTTGGAAGAAACCACCCGTAGAGGAACCTAGAACGTGGCAGGGCCAGACCCGTGATGGGAAGGCAACGCGTGGCAGGAGCTACTGTGGAAGAAGCCATACCGACTGGGAACACAACGCGTGGCAAGGCAAAGTTTGGAAAAAGGCATGGCAGCCAAAAGAGGGAAGAAGAGAACCCCTTAACGCGAAGACGTCTCCGAGGGACAGCAGCAAAGCCCAGAAAACCCCCTCCCCCCCATACAATGTGCCACACACCCCATTGGGCATCCGCAGGGCGGGTTGCGTTCTATTACTTTGTATTTCTCAAACGCCGGAAATGCATCCGCGGCCTTTTTTTGGGGGTTTTTGGCATCCGCGGTGGTCCTTTGAAGGGGTCGTCCCGCATCCGCGGGGGCATCCGCGGGCATCCGCGCCTGCGTTGTGCACATGTGGTGAGCCATGTCAAAGTCCTTGGACAGCGTTTTCCTTCCGAAGACCGTTCCTGTTATGTTGGGCACCTTTGCGAACGTTTTTTCTTCAGTAAACGATGCCAAAAACAAACCTAGTCAGCCAGAATCTGTCCTGCGAAGGGCTTCCGGGCTGCTCGCTGCTTGTTTCAAAAGCCTATCAAAAAGTGATCCGTGCTTCTCTGGCGTAATTGGGCAGGTGGTGCACGAATCTTCATACGAGGCGTTGTTGTCCAACATGGGCCCCGCGAAAGAAACACGTGGGGTTCGCGACAGTTTGGCGGACGTAACATTTTTCATTGGCCGTTTGCGGCGACAGGATTGTTGATTCATCAACTATCATGTCCCTCTATGTGCGAAACATGTTGTACATCCCTCCTCTCCATGTACATGTCACAGTGTCGATTGTGATTCCATACCACAGTCATGGATTTTGAAGAGTCACACTCACAAATCTGAAGTGTCAGCCTCTGCAAATCACATGGACCAACCGGCCCATTTTGGTTCTGGCAAAGGTGTGCTAGTATTGGCCGCTCTGTCTTCGCATTCTGGATACTTTTCTGTGTCCTTCCACTAGAAGGCTGCGATGTGTAGATTCACCACCCGGGCTCTGCCACTTTGAGCCAGCCTGTGCGCCTGTTGCTTGACATTAGGTTCCAAGGCCTCTGCATGTTTCTTCTGTTGCATCATGGCAGTCGATGATGATGGCACAGACTTGGACGCCGCTTTAGAAGCTTTGATGTTGGAGTTCGAAGTTGCTGCAGAGTTACCTGTGGTGCTGCCTAGCTGTGATAGCCAGTTGGCACTGTTGCCTGTCGAAGATCAAGCTGCATCGCCGCCTCCCAGCCGGCGGCGGCGTCTCTCGATTGATTGGGCGACCAAGGTCTCCTCTTGGGTGCTTCCACCCGGCGCCAGCAGCGCGGTTTCTACTTTGACAAGTCGCCAAAAGTCTGCCTTTCGTGATCAATGGTGTGTCCGCCTGTTGCGCCGCATGCCCCATTTGAAAGCCACCAGCTATACTGACGGCCTTGCGCGAGCCAAAGAGTTGTGGCAGGGGCAGCCATCTGATCACAAAACCGGCTGGTTCTTGCACATGGCAGATAGCAGCCATCCAGCACCGCCGTTCCCAGCAGAGAGCACGTTTGGTGACAGATCTGGTGGCGCTAGCAGGCGTGGCGGGGGCACCGCTTCATCTGCAGCAGGTCGTGCAACTTCTCAGATGACGGATGAACGGCTGCATGGCTTTCTCTTGACTTACAATGGCTCCTGGGGAGCTGGCACTCCAGAGGTGGATGCTTTGGCCATGATGCAAGGCACCCACAATGAATTGGTTGCTGCAGTGCGACAGTCCGCCTTTTACGAAGCCTTGTGGCGTGAGTTTGTTTCCTGCTTAGAGCCGCAAAGTCTATATCATTGCTTAGGCTCCTCTCTCTCCAGACATATCAAGATCCAGAATATGCTTTTCTCTTGCTGTCCATACATAGCAGTTGACAACTATGCCACTAGCTATGGTCAGCATGTGTATCAATACTGGCAGGGCTCTGGTATGTGGACGGAGTTTTCGTTGATTTTTGTACCCCTTTTTCCGGGCCCGGTTTAGGGCAGGTTCTGCGTGAAGAGCTCGATACCTTGAAAGCCAAGCGACAAGAGCTGCGCAAAGAAATCAGTGCCACTTGGCGAGTTGGGGGCGTGGCATCAGATCCTTTTTGGCAACTGTGAGCCTGTTACTTGCGGGTCCTTGGGAAGGGCTTGCCTGTGCATTCATGAGGTCAATCGGCAGAACTTGAAGAATGCACTGAAAAAGCAGCAGAAACTTGTGAAGACAGCAAAGCAGTTGAGTCTGAGTGATTTGCGGAAGTTGGTCACCGCTGCTGAAGCAGCGCAAGATTAGGTCCAATCTTCACTGCGGAGCAACTGCAAAGCAGAATCTCTAAAAGGGATGGGCTTGCTTGTGAAAGAAACGAGCATGTAGCCGAGACAACCTCTTGCCCACTATAGGCGTGCATGCTGCGGCATTGTTGGTCATAAAGTAAACTACTTTGTAAGCCATTGGTGTGTTCCTCTACCGGACTGGTGCTAGAATTTGGCAGAACCTGTGGAAAGAGAACATTGGAATGCGAGGTAAAAAAAAACATAATACTATGGGCAGGTCATAAAGCCTTGTAGAGGAGCCAGTGTATGTTTCCACATGGTTTCGTTGCCAAACCACTGGGAGAAAAGGCAAGACGGTTTTCAGGTGCATGCCCGACCTTGCTTACGCGGCAGCGTTGGTTCCTGAACGGAAAACTTCGACTGTTGCGTTGTGGCTGCATGGACTGGAGCAGTGACAAGTCCAAGCATGCCAACCTTGCACTGGCAAAAAACGCGGAAAATCGTTCTGCTGCTGTAAGAAGGCATTTTATTTTTGAGGGATCGTTTCAAGTGCTGCAGAAAACTGCACAGGACGCCTGGTGCAGTGCTTTGGGAACTGCTTTGCTGCTGAGCTGCTGCTTCCCTCTTCGAAGTGACCCTGTATGCACTTTGCTGGACCATGGCAAGCCGTGAGTTCAAACCAATATCTTTGGACATGTTCCACCTTCCATCTGCTGTTGGGACGTGCTTCAGATGACCGCCAAGCGCGATCTTGCACACGGGGTCGGTGACATTAATTTTCACATTTGTGGTACAAGCATGATGTATGTGGACCTTGTATTGGACCTCCTTTCCATTCTCTGGCAGATTTATGCTGGGATTTCCAAGTATGAGTTTGAATCTCTTGCTGCATCGTGACTTTCATGTGAGTGCCCGCTGCAGTGCACTGCAACATCAGCTAAGGAATGCGCAGCATGTTCCGCATCTGCGCCGTTGCGATTCTGGCAGCAGATTCGAACAGTGGAATGAGTTTTTAGGGACCAGCTTTTTGGCCGATCTAGACATGTTTCTGTGGCAATCCGTGAACCTGTGGGGAAACAGCTCCGCAATTCAACATCAAGGTTTGAATTTTCCATGCGGAGGATGATTGTTCTGACTGTTCAAACAGGCGGAAGATTCAAGGCAGCTGTTTTGCTGTCAATGCGTGTGTGCCAATGGCGGTTGGCCACTTTCAACATGGTTTTATCACCAAAGGAGATGGTATCAAATATGTGGTTCGCAATGGCACGGACACATTTTACATATTTTGTTTGCCAGACTCAGACCAACGATGGGGTGGTGCTAGTGTGCCAATAGGATTTGGTCCCTAGGGTAACTTGCGGATGGGCTGAGGTAACCCGGTGTGCCATTGGGATGGGGTAACTTCTGGGTGCCTGAAGTCAGAAGCAACGTCCGCCCAGTCAGGTTAACTGCCGCTTTCCTAGTAAGTCAATTAGCTGTGGCGGACCGGCTGGGCAGTTCAAGGGACATGTCATGAAAAGGGGTATTTTTCCATGTTCATGTTGTAGGGTGAGAAACCCTCCATTGCTCCGGAAGGAACAAGCTTGTTTTGGTTTGCACACCACATGCGAAGGTGTAAACCAGCCATTTGTAGGGTGACAGCTCTGCAGTTCAAGATCAGCTAAGGAGTGTGCAACACGTTCCGCACCTGCATGTGGTACAATTCCGGCAGCACCTGCCTGTGTTTGAGCAAGCCGTCTCAAGGGTGACAGCGCAGCAGTTCAAGATCAACTCTGAAGTGGACAGACTCTAACATTGGGAAACGCTTTCTGTGTACCGACTTGTTTGTAGGATTCGAGGCGTGTTTCTGTGGCATCCATGCATCATTACCGGGACAACTCTGCAGTTCAAGATCACTGTCATAGACGGTTTTTATTTTCATGTTGGCAGGTGAGAACCAGGAGTTTATAAACATGTGATCTGCATGGCGCCATGGTATGTTTGTTTGAATGGCATATGCCTGTGTTTCAGTCATCCATCGCTAGAGTAACGGCATAGCAGTTGACGCTCCGCTCAGGACTGAACGGACTGTAACACTGGGAGACGTTTTTTTTTTCTGGGACCCACCATCACTGCGGGAGACTAGGCGCGTTTGTGCGGCCATGCACAAAACTTTCAGGGACAGTTGTGCAGTTGAACAGGAGCTGCACGAAACGGTTTCGATTTGCATGTTGGAAGGTCAGATACAGCATTTTGGAAACATGTGACCCTCCCGTGACTCCACATGGGGCAGCGTTGTGTTTGTGGAACAGCGCATGCCAGCCTTTCAGCCATGCTTCTGCAGGTGACAGCGCAGCAGTTCAAACTCAACGCAGACGTGAACACATGGTGACACGGAGAGACGTTTTTTTCGGATGCACGCGTTTGGGTGGCAGTTCATGCATCTGTCAGGGTACAACTCGGCAGTTCAACATCAGCTGCACGACACGGTTGTTATTTCCATGTTGGAAGGTCAAAAACAGGGTTTTCAAAACATGTGCACGTTCCGTCATTTCGCATGGGGCAAAGTTTTTTTTTTTTACTACCACATGCCAGTGTTTGAGCCAGTTATCTCTAGGGTGACAGCGCAGCAGTTCAAAATCAGCTCAGAAGTGAACAGATTGTAACACTGGGCGATGTTTCTTTGGACCTCATTTTTTCTTGGATTAGACGTGTTTGTGTGGAAATCCATCAATCTGGTCTAGGGGACAGCTTGGCAGTTCAAGATCAGCTGCGCAAACGGTTTTTTTTCCTGTTGGAGTATGAGAAACACCAATGTCAGAAGATGTGTTGGGTGCCGGTTGCCAGTGTTGCAGCCAACCATTGCCACGGTGACAGCGCAACAGTGCAAGATCAGCTCAGGACATGTTCAAGTAGCTGGGGCTGCAGATACACGGAGAAATTCCATGACCGGAGGCCGCCCGAGCTGGGTGCACCTGTATTTTTGAAAGGATGACACCAATCAACCCAATGAAAACCAGAAACCATAGAACCACAAAGCAGAAAACAAGAAAGACCACTCGATATAGATGTATTTCATTTTGGTTTTGAAGACCCCACGCGGCCAATGGGCGTAGCTGGCACAGCATGCTGTGGTGAGTTGTGGCCCCTGATACCATCAGTGCGAACGATGTTTCAGTAAAGATCTTACGTCCATTTCGTGCAGAGCACAGCTGCCCATAGCGCAAGACTTTGTTAAAAAGGCGTGCTGTACGCCGTGTTGCTTGTGAGTTCTCTGGCCCACCTTGTTTCATTTTGGTTTTGCAGGCCCCATGCGGCCAATTGTAAGTTGATGGCGTGGTTTTGCACGGTGGGAAGCCGATTGGTGCGCGACAATTCGTCACGTTAGCTGAATTGACCGCTTCATTTGTGTCTGTTTTTCGATGTGTACCTTCTTTGCATGGTTTGCGGAGCCGACTTGTGAAACCCGTGGGTGGGAAGGGGCAACCCCCGCATGGAAACTCAACGCGTGGCAGGCCGCGTGGCAGGCGCAGGCAAGTTTCCGAAGGAAGCATCCCTGATGGGAGGTCAACGCGTGGCAGGCAGAAACCTGGAAGAAACTACCCCATATGGAGGGCCAAGTTGTGGAGGACCAACCCCAGCTGGAGTCAGCACGTGGCAGGCGCAGGCTCGGAAAAAACAACCCGTAATGGGGCCTCAAACCCTGGCAGGGCCAATGTTGTTTGGAACGAAACACCACTCGGAGGAAGCAACGCGTGGCAGGCGCACGTGGCAAGGCCAAACTTGGAAGAACCCACCCCTGATGGGAACTGACCTCGTGGCGGGCGCAGGCTCGGACGAACCACC